AATTGAGTTTAAAAGGCAGAGTTAGGTAAAAGAATTGGAGGAGTTTGATATTTGGAGAGAAGTTAAGGTAGGCATGCCTGGCTTTATGTCCCGGATTGATCAGAACCAGAAATCAAAATGAAACTGAGGCTGGTATTTTGATTTTTAGGTTTCACGTGGTACGAATTGAGCGATTAGAATGAGCCGAAGTGGATATGTGGAAAATTAGGTTCTGGAGTGTTTGGTTCTAGATGCTTGGAGAGGAATTGAGGCGACAAGGAGTAAGTTTCTGTGGTGATACGGACTAGGTAACCGGAACGAATCCGGGTAGGTATGTAGAGAGACAGGTTCAAGTTCGGCACAAACTGGATTTTCCAATGAACAGTTGGGTGGAGAGTCAGTTCTGTAGTGATAGAAACCAGATACTTGGAGAGGAGCTCTTGTGGATAGTTGACGAACTATGTTTCGGAGTGATGGCAACTGGAAAACTGGGTGTAGTTAAGGTAGACGTGTTAAAAAAGTGTTTCGGAGTGGTAGGAAGCACAAAATGGCAGGAGGAACTGAAGCAGATGGGAGAATTAGGACCTGTAATGATAAATGTAAGAATTAGGAGATGATTGATGTAAGAGAGTTCCTTGAGTGGTGGAAACGAGGAAAGCAGGCGGGATTGCGGTGGATAGGTAGGGAACTACGGTTGTGGTAGGGCAGGAAAGAACGAAGCCTTAGCGACAGGCATATTGCTTATCTTGCTTTGCCTGTTTCTTAGAGTAGCTACTGCTTACAGTTCTTCGTTTATCTTTTCCTGTTTAGTACAACCATATTTGGGTGGTGCTGATCCTGTCGTTTGCTTCCTCGCTGGCTGCTTCGACGCAGTGAGTGCAGTTTCATTTTATTATTGCTATCAGCAATGCTGAAATGGGGTTCTTATTTGCAGCGAAAAACGTGGAAGTGGTTTACTGTGTCCCACAACCCTGACCTGACTGAAGGTGTTACAAACGTGTGAAATACATTAGAAGTTGATTTTAAGGGTCTCTTCTATTGCGAATTTTCCGCTTTGTGTTGGAGTAGGCAGTCCACACTGCACGATATCTTCACTAGAAGTCAGGTGCCTATCAAGAATACCATCATTACCGGCGCAGATAAACATGAATGAGTAGGAAGATACGAACCTCGTACTTCTACTGAATGTGTTTATTGGAGAGGTTTGTGCCTGGAGAAGACGCTCCCATATCAATGTTCTGTGAGATTGGCCCCTTTTTACGCTCACTTGGAGAACTCTAACCCTAATGTCATCGCAGCTGAATTCAGTTCGAACATCTCTAGACTGGGCCATTCCTGTTCCTTAAAGTAGTCCTCTCTGCCTTGCTTGTTTGTAGCTTTCAGCTCTGCGATGCGAAGGAATTATGCCCTCA